GCAGAGGGAGAAGAAGGCTCCATGCACCGGGAGCCTGACTTGGGATTCGATCCTGGGTCTCCAGGATCGCGCCCTGGGCCAAAGGCAGGCGCTAAACCGCTGCGCCACCCAGGGTTCCCCACAAACTGATTTGATGGAGAAAATGGGAGGGTAGTTGTCGGGTATTATATTAATACTGTTCTCTTCATGTTCACTTTCATATAAAAATTCTTTTCATGTATCCCACTGATCATCAGAGCATCACTCCCTATTTGGGGAATGATTATTGCTTTGATGGTCTAAATGAACTATAAATAAATTGAAAAGAGGTGGACATTTACCCAAGGGAAAATGCCAAAATGGGAACCTAGAGACCATGGCTGGGGCAACAGCAGAACAAAATGTTCTCTCTGAGATTTTTAATGAGGCATGCTCACTGTTGATGCTTCAACATACTCTTGAAAATGTCTGAACCTGGAAAAATACATTCAAATTTCCTAATATCATGAGATTGCCCCTTCCTTGTTTGTAAACCTTCAGCAATTCCGCAGTACACATAGGGTAATCTAATCCAATCTAATCTATGAATTGAGACCTACCCCAATCTAAGTCCAATTGCCTAAATCCAGCTAGTCTTGTCTTCTGCTAAGGAAATCCAAGTTGAATGTGGTCCGATGTGAGATTTGCAGGGCTACAGACTAGAGGGAACTGTCCTTGTCCAAAATCACAAGTGTGAGCAGAGTCACAGACCAGGAATGAAAATTGGGAGGTGGAGCAAAAATGGCAGAAAGGGTATTTGGAGGAAACTTGAGTACATGGGCCAAAAGGTAATACTAAAAGTAGGCCATGATCTAGGATATCAAGCCAAGACACATGCATCAGTGAAGGCCAGTTGGGAACACTGAGATTCAGACTGTAAAAAATCTAGGGCAAGTGCCCAGTAGCATTTGTTTGATGGGGATGATTTATTTTTGTTATCTGCCCTAATCTTGATACAGCTTCCTCCATCCCCTGTATCACATGATCTCAATTCTTCCTGAGTGGCTCTGGCAGAAAGCCCTGACCTTTCCCAGGATACTGTGGAGATAGTAGGTTGGTCTCTGTGTCTCATACTGGTCCATGCCCTTCTCAGAATACTAGGCTTAGGAGAAATCCAGAACACAGTATAACTTTCACTGTACTGTTCCCATCTCTAGTTGCAGAGCTTCAGGCAGATATGTGCATGAAGAGAGGACAAGGAGATAACTAAGTCTAGGTGGGCCTCCAACCCAGCAGGAAGGAGATGGTCATAAGCTCTTATGTTGGAGACAGAAGTCATATATGGAAGACTTCTGACGCCATGACTGGTCCCGTGTGGTACTTTCCAAGTTAGAAAAGGGCAGATTTAAATAAAAAAAAGAAAGAAAGAAAAGAAAAGGGCAGATTTGCCAGGAAGAGAGCCCTATAGTGTTGTCCAATTCTGAGGTTCTCTCTAATTCTTAGGGCCAGTTATCATATATCATCAGGAAATTTCTTGAAAATCTCCGAGTGGCCTATAGCTCCTTCTGGTTCCTGTGAGATATTAGATGTTAGAGGTACACTAGGACCTTGCTTCATAAAGTGTAACCACAGATCAGTAATATTGGAATAACCTGAGGGCTTATAAGGAATACAGAGTCTCAGGCCTCCTGAACTGAATCTATATTCTAACAAGATTCATATGCACATTAATATTTATGGAGCATGTCTCTAGAGCATGGAGATATAGCCATGAGTGGCAGCCATATCTTTTGGGGGTTCAGGGCAAAGAAGTGCAGTGACTCTTGAACAACACAAAGAGGGATTCCTGTGTGGCTCAGCGGTTTAGCACCTGCCTTTGGCTCAGGTCATGATCCCGGGGTCCCAGGATCGAGTCCCATATCAGGCTTCCTGCACGGAGCCTGCTTCTTCCTCTGCCTGTGTCTCTGCTTCTCTCTCTGTGTCTTTCATGAATAAATAAATAATAAAAATCTTTAAACGAATGAATAACAGAAATATTAGGGGCACCAACCCCCAGTGTAGTCAAAAATTCATGTGCAACTTTTGACTCCCTGCAAAATTTAACTACTAGTAGCCTACTGTTGACCAGAAGCCCCACCAATAACATAAACACATATTTTATATGTTACATGTATTATACACCGTTTTCTCACAGTAAATGAAGCTAGAGAAAGAAAATGTTATTAATAAAATCATAAGGAGAGTTAATACATTTATAGTGCTATACTGTATTTATAAAAAAATCTGCATAAGATGGACATGTGCAGTTCAAACTTGTGTTATTCAAGGGTCAACTGTACAATTGATTTGTATAAGTAAATTGTAACCAGTGGGCCAGGTCTTTGTAGCAAAGATTCCTCTTCAAAACTCCCTTGGGATCATCAATGGATCCCAACTAAACTAATATGATGAATGGCTAATGGGAAACTTTAGAATGAGCTATTATGTGGTCACCACCTTAAACCTATTGATCAGTCTTAGCATCACTAAAAGTAGAACAAGCAGACCCTATGAGCCTTCTGAAGCATAGTACCACAGTCTATGGCACCACTTTCAAGGTGTTATTGACTAAAAATGAAGCCAAATTTTATCAAGCCTTGGGAAATAAGGAAAATAGGGAAACAAATTTAAGGACACCCCAAAAGGCCAAAGAGGCAAATGTGGACTATTGGGAAGCCAATAAGAAACAGATTCACTGCAACAAGTCAATGACATGTGGAAAAAAAAAAAAGTGGGGTTGGGAGAGGAGGAATCTGCATTAAAAATTAAAATGGATTTAAAAGACAAATGAGGGATGCCTGGCTGGTTCAGCGGTTGGGCAGCTGCCTTTGTCTCAGGTCACGATCCCGGGATTCCAGATCGAGTCCTGCATTGGGCTCCTGAGAAGAGCCTGCTTCTCTCTCTGCTTATGTATGTCTCTGCCTCTCTCTCTCTCTCTCTCTCTCTCTCTCTCTCTCTCTTTCTATCTCTCTGTGTGTCTCATGAATAAATAAATAAATCTTTAAAAGACAAATGACTGAATGTAATTTGTGGACCTCGTTTGGATCTTGATTTAGACAACTAACATTTCAGAAATGTATGGGGAAATATGTAGAGGTATAATGACATGATATCTGAAATTTGCTTTAAAATAATTCAACAAGGGATCCCTGGGTGGCGCAGCAGTTTGGCACCTGCCTTTGGCCCAGGGCACGATCCTGGAGACCCGGGATCGAGTCCCACGTCGGGCTCCCGGTGCATGGAGCCTGCTTCTCCCTCTGCCTGTGTCTCTGCCTCTCTCTCTCTCTCTCTCTGTGACTATCATAAATAAATAAATTTAAAAAATAAATAAATAAAATAAAATAATTCAACAAGAAGTGGAAAAAGATTAGATAAAGCAAATGTGGCAAAATCTTTCATAATTATTGAATTTAGGCAAGTGGGTATGAGAGGATTCATTGTACTGTTTCTCTACTTGCCATGTGAGCTTCATTTTTTTATAAGCAAAAATTTGTTTAAAAAAGCAACAAAATCCAGAACCCAATTTCCATTTTTGTCTAGCTGCAATGCTGCAGGGAAAGGAGTGGACAGGTGAAGGTGGGTATGGAGGGCTTTATTTTTTTTTTTTAAGATTTTATTTATTTATTCATGATAGAGAGAGAGAGAGACAGAGACACAGGCAGAGGGAAGAGCAGCCTCCAGGCAGGGAGCCTGACATGGGACTCAATCCTGGGACTCTAGGATCACACCCTGGGCGGAAGGCAGGAGTTTAAACCACTGAGCCCCCCAGGCTGCCTGGTATGGAGGGCTTTAAACAAGGCTTTCAACAACCAGAATATGTGGGTCTGGCTGAGGTCTCCATGCTTCATCGGCCTCTGAGTGTGTGAGAGCTACGGAAGTTTGTGTGTGTATGTGTGTGTGCAAATGTATGGGGGGGCACTCAATTTGAAAATATGACACTTAAGGAAAATGATATAACTCTTTACTGGGAGCCAGTGAGGACAGAGCTAAGGATAAAGTTCCTAAGGACCAGATTTGCAATAGGAAATTCCTTTCCCAAAATATCAGGTGATGCCCAAACCAAGAAAGAAAAGGGAGCAGAAAGAAACTGGATGAGAAAACAGGTTCCCCAAAGCTAGGTAGGTCCCCAGGAACAAAGAAGCCTCACAAATTATCAGGAGCAAGTTCATGGCCAGGCCTTGGAGTCAGAGATGCAGAGAATGAGCACTTAAGACTTGAAGAAAATAAGGCCAGCCCATGGAGAATCATGTATTGCTTATCCCAGCTCTATGGGCCAAGAAAGAAAGGACATCAACTTTCTTTTCTCAGTTTTGCTTTCTAACAGGCCCCTTCATCGACTCTGTTCCAGGCGAACAGCTGTGCACATTGTCTCTTAGGTACTCACTGAATTTTCTAGTGAGTATTCAAAGCAGTTTAACTCAAGTACCTCAAGACTGGAGGGCTGCCTAGCTGGCTCAGTCAGTAGTGTGCAACTCTTGATGTTGGGGTTGTGAGTTCAAGCTCCACATTGGGCAGATTACTTAAAAATAAATAGATTCTTTTTTTTTTTTTCAAAAAGACTGTCAGTGTAGGAATAAAAAAGAGAAGAAGGGAGAAGATAGGTGATTGCTCTTGATTCTAAGGATTTTAAAGGATTAGGCTTCCATCAGAATCATCAATAGTCCAGAAGGAAGGATCTTCAGAAATTATCCTGGCATCTTAGATTTAATCTTGCTTTTTTTTTTTTTCATTCTGTCAGCTGCTGCTACATAGTTTTTGTAGCAACAGTGTGCTCAAAGTCAGAGTTGCCTGTAAATTTATGGCATGTAAGGCATTAATTATTTGACAATTCTCTGCTTTAAAAATGCCTTTGACATTTCAACAGGAGCAACTCATAAAAGAACAATTTAGGAGTTCTGTTTGTATTTTTGAATGCATAAGCATTTTAAAATGAAACAATGGTATATTAGTTATCAATTGCTGTGAAACAAACTGCCAATATATAGCAGACTAAAACAACATACATCATCTCACTTGGTTTCTGAAGGTTTAGAAACCATGAGCAGGTCTGCCGGGTGGTTCTACCTCAAGGTCTTTCATGAGGCTGTGGTCAAGCCATTAGTTAGGTCTGCAGTCATCCAATGGCTAGAGGATCTCTTTCCGAATTCTCTCACGTTGTGCCATGGACTATTGGATGGAAGGCTCAGTTACTTGCCATGTTAATCTCTCCACAAGGATGTCTCAGTATCCTCAAATGATGACATCTTTCCCCTAGAACAAGTGACAGAGAAAGAGAGAAGGAAATAGAAGCATCTGCATTTTTTACAACCTCATTTTTCCTTCTGTCGTCACACAAACCAATCTCGGTGCAGCGTAGGAGAGAATGAAACCAGGATATGAATATCAAGGAGGTCTCCACCTGCTATTCATTGGAGCCATCATAGATACTGCCTTCCACATACGGGTAATTTTTAAAGCTTAGGGAAAAAGAAACAAACCCAAAAAACAAATGGACAGAATGGTCTCACACATCTTCACTTATGACAAAGCTCTATGCACTGTAGGAAGAACAGGATGGTCTTCTAAAAAAATGAATCTGGGCCAATAAGATATCTAAATTAAGGACGGAACTTAACCTCTACTTTACATAAAACAAGTTAATTCCGGTGGATTGTAATTTTAAGTGTTAAAAGTAAAACAATAAGCCTTCTAGAAGATAACACAGAGAGATACCTTCATGACCTTGGAATAGACCAAAAGAAAAAGAAACAAGAAAAGAAAAAGAGAAAGGATAGAAAGAGTGAAAGAGTAAAAGAAAGATTTGTATAAATCCATAAGAAAAAGACAATCTCCCCCCCCTCCAAAAAAAGAAAAGAAAATCCAATGGCAAATGAGCCAATAAACTTGAACAAGCAAAACCAAAAAGTGAATATTCAAAAAATTAATAAACATAAATAATACACTCAAAAACTTGCTTTTAATAATTCATTAAAACAAAGGCTTGTAAAAGTTTTATATATGTGTGAGGACACTGTGTAATCTGTTGGTGTGCATGCTTCTTAAGAGTATCAACTCAATTTTACAGGAGAGCTTAGAGCATTCTGTGTCTCCTATAAAAAGCAACCTTCATTTTGGATTCTGCAATGGTTATATTTTCTCCACAATAATTAAAATCCTTTTTTGTTTTTCCTCGCTGTTATATTTTGCCACAGACATTTTGCCTTTTTAATCTGATTGTGTCTTTCTTGTTTCAGATGTTAGTTGTGTCCCCTGGTTGGTAGGAATTAACCAAGAATCCACCGGTCTACAGAATCTGAACTGAGACTAAACTTTTGTACTTTAAAAAAATACCAACAGTGAGGATGGGCAGATTTGGAAGGAATGAAAAGGGAAGGGAAGGGAAGTCTGAGAATGGAATTTGCCAGTTTGAAACCTGGGAGATAGCGTTGGTGAGTGCACCGGTGCTTGGTTGCCTTAGGGGTGAAATGCAAAATGGGTCCTTAGCCAGGATCAGCCCACCTCCCTACCCTCTCTGTTCTGGGCTCCAGGCATCTCAGCCCTGTGAAAGGAACAGCCTGTCCCCAAAGAGAGGCCCCAATCCCAGCTCCCACAAATTACATGGCATCGACAGCCATCTGTGTCCAGTCATGTTAGGAGCTCCTTATTGCCTCTGATAATAGGCAAACTGGCAGCCCTCGGTGGGGATAGGGAGGATTCTGACAAGAAATGTATATTGCTGTGTTTATTACATAAAGAATGACTATCTAAAGAACACAAATTAGTCATTGTCATAGAAACCTATAACTAGAACTAGGATAAATGAGACCATACAGGATGAAGACATTGCCAAACTGAAAAAGAGGATAAACATTTCAAGAGTTTTTTGTAATGTGTGAATAAAGTCAATGAAGCTGCTGCAGAATGCAGTTATGAATTTGACGTCAGGATGTTTAAACTTTTTGCAGATGTGAGTTTATGAAAGTATTTTCTGAATGTAGCAAAATACATCTGCCCTAACTAGCAACTGGGAGAAACTGGAGCTCTCAGCATGTGGAAAATAGGACTGGAAAAATGAGAGGAATGGTTTGTTGGGACTGCCAAAGAACCCTCCAATAGATTGCATTTTTTTCCCACCTAGGTTCTAAACAAGGTGAGATACAAAATAAAGATCAAAAATGGAGGCCAATGGGATCCCTGGGTGGCTCAGCTGTTTAGCTCCTGCCTTCAGCCCAGGCGTAAACCCAAAGTCCCCGGATCGAGTCCCACATTGGGCTCCCTGCATGGAGCCTGCTTCTCCCTCTGCCTGTGTCTCTGCCTCTCTCTCTCTCTCTTTCTCTCTCTCTCTGTGTGTGTGTGCATGTCTCTCATGAATAAATAAAATCTTTTTAAAAATAAATAAATAAAAAATAATAAAATAAAAATGGAGGCCAAAATGTCATCTTTACAATTGAGAGAGGTACACTTGAGGTCAAGGCTTAATGAGAACTAAATTGGGCCTGAAGCCTAAACTCCAGAGTTCCAGTCCACTGGGTTCCAGGCCTGCAGACTGACACTGTGGACGCAAAGGAAAGCCCGTGCTCCCTGCAGGCAGGTTTTGATCAAGAGAATGAAAGCAAGCAAGCCACTAAACAACATTTCTAGTTTATCTTCCCAAATTTCCAAATCAGCGAAGTCACTCTAAAATCATCAGTGGTGGGATGCCTGGGTGGCTCAGTAGTTGAGCGTCTGCCTTTGGCTCAGGGCGCATGATCCCAGGCCCGGGATCAAGTCCCACATCAGGCTCCCTGTGAGGAGGGTGCCTCTCCCTCTGTCTATGTCTCTGCCTCTCTCTCTGTGTCTCTCATGAATAAATTAGATGAAATTTAAAAATAAATAAATAAAATCATCAGTGGTATATTCTATTGGTGAGTGCACAGGTATAAACAGTACCCTCTAGGTAGCTCTATTAATGAATGATGTCAATGAGAATTTAAATGGAATCAAAGAATTCTTAGTCATGGCAACTGTCATAGGAAAAGATTTGGTTTTATGTCCTGTGCAGTTATCAGCCTATATTGGTAAAATTCACCATGTGACCTCTGATGGTGTCCTTGTGAAGGGCAATGTGAATGTCAGACTGGCTTCAAATCTTAGTCTGCGGTGATAATATGTTCTGGGTTCATGGAACATATAAATGGAGGCTATTGAGCTGCTGTAGAACACAGCAACGAAAGCATAATATGCCAATATTGCAATATCTAATTTTACAAGTATCTTGGGAGTAGTTAGTTACCTTAAATATAAAAAACAGGAACCTGCATTTGTATATAGTTATTTTCCATTATGAAACAGAATTCAATTAATCTCACTTAAAGGAGTCAGCGAAGGGCACAATGTAGAATATAAGACCAACCGTAGCATTTAGGGATGCAAGGAAAGGTGAATGTTCTGTGGTTCTAATGAAAGGGGAATGAAATGCTACTACCTACTATGTACAAGCAACATCTACAAGGCTCTTGTCTCTTCTTACCCTTAGAGAATGTAATTCTAATTAGAACTCTGAGTTGCAAGTATTTGAACTTGTTTTGCTAGTGGGAATACATTATTGGGGTTCAGGGATCACAGAATCCAAAGGCAGATGTGCAGATAGTCTCAGAAAGGAGCTGTGGCCCATTGCTGTGTGGTTAGAGAGCCCGGGGCACCCTCTCACTGCCTCTCCTCCTGGTCTCTCTCTGATGGTTCTGCTGGTTCTTCTTTCTTGGCATACTATCTTGCTCTGCTATCGATCCACTCGATGGGCAGAAGATGACTTCCCATTCCACTCAAGTTTTTATAGTTGACCCAAATGGAGGAAACCCACTGACTCTCTCTCAACCTCCCTCTTGGCCCTCCTCTCTTTCTCTCTCCTTCTCTCCCACTCCTCTTGCCCCTTCCCCATTCTAAGTTTCTAGGATAAAAATATGATTGGTCTAGATTAGATCAAGTGTTCACTTTGCAGCAGGCAGGATCATGCAGGAGAAATAGCTACCACTCCCCACACCAACCCCACTGCCACCAATTTAGAAGGACTGGGCTCATAATCCAAAAGGCACTTTCTAAAACGTGGTGTGGTAAGTTGGTGGGATTCTTCTCCTGGCAACACATAAACACACACACACACACACACACACACACACACTCCATAGATTCAAAGCAAAACAGTGACTCTTACTCCTTTTTTCACTTTCTGTTTCTAGCTCAGTGACCTAGATGTTAGTGAAAGGAATATATGTAGTAGACTGAATATGTATTTGTTATATGATTGACTAAGAATACAGAGAACAGACCCTGCTTCCAGGGCAAAACACACACATATGAGTGCATGCACGCATGTGTGCACACACAGACCGAATGAGTTATGTCTCTGAGGATTCAATCAGAAGAAATTAGTTCTGGATACTTTAGCCAGAAATGGATTTCAGTGGAAACATATAAATAACTGACAGATTGAAGAAGAAATCCAAATATTCAGGCTCAGGAGGGACAAAAACTGGGGCTACTCTCAGGTTCTGAGTCAGCAGGAATGGGTGGATGGCCTCCTCACAAGGCTGGCACACTGTCTTCTGCCCCTTAGCTCAAGACTCAGATCCCAGAGAGAAAACATCTAACTGGCCTAGCTCTGGTCAAATGGCCTCCTGCCTGCCCACCCCAGCACCTTGACCGATAGACCCACCAAAATGGTATCCATGAGGACAAGGGGAAGGGTCCCCAAGGCAATGCTGGGAAGAGGAATACAGTCCCAATAGAAAAAGCCAACAGAGGTCACTACAGGGGCCTTTCAGACTGTCAGGACAGTTATGTCTCTGGTGAGGTGCAAATGGAAAATGCTGGCCGTTGTCCAGTCCATTCACCTTGCCTGCCAAAAAGTCTCTTAGCGGCCTTCTCCTGTCTTGGCAACTAGCTAGCACTCCACCCAGGAATGTCACCTGACTACGCTTCCTGCTATCCAACATTCTTAAATAGAGTAGATCTGGATAGGAGTTTGGACCAACATGGCTTTGGTTAAGTTTGACTCATCCCTAAAGATTTTGGAGCACTTTCTATATAAAAAAAAGAAAAAAAAGAAAAGCAATGAGAGGAAGAAGGGGGTCCTTTCCCTGGGGCAACAAGAAGCCTTAGTTAAGTTAAACTGTTCTTCAGGGTGTTGGATTTTGTCAAATACCTTTTCTGCATCTATTGATATGATCATATGATTTTCCTCCTTTGGTCTTTTGGTATGATGGGTTGATTGTTAATTGCTTTTTGAATATTTA